CACACACACACACACACACACACACACAACCACTGCTCTCAATTTTATTTGCCCTCTTCTGATTCTGCACTTTTTCCCTTCAGCACACACAGTCACCGCTTATGATTACCATTTGTTCGTTCTCTTCACTCATCTTTGAAAGTATAGTGAACACTAGCGAGAGCAGGACAATACAGCGGGTTATAGTGCACCACCACCACAACACAGCAGTAACGGAAAGAGAAAATTGAAATGAAAAGTCAATTGGCGGCAAAGTGTACAGCGCCGTTAAAGTAGAACAGTCGCAAGAAGTGTCGAGAGGTCTGGTTGAAACAAAAATACAATGTAAAAAGGAGGCAATTTGAAAAATGAAATTGAAGCAGGAGAGAATCGTCAAAAAGGTGAGCAAACACTCACACATACCATCCACTTGGCCTCAGTAACAGTAACAGCAGCAGCAGCCACTTTTGGTACGGTGAAAAAACAACGAGAAAAATGGCAAAAAAGAAGCGATGCTTCTGGTGACATTTAGACGCAGGCCAGAAACACAGACAGAGACAGGCAGGCAGGCAGAGCCAGCAGTGCCAGACATCAACCTAATATATGCAAATGAAGAAGAGGAATAGCCAATAAACTGGCGCCATCGGAAAACTTTCCACTGAAGTGCATCCGAAGCAGAAGCAGTCATCCAGTTCACTTCAATACACACACACACACAAAGCAAAAGTAGTAGAAGCAGTAGTAACAGCACAGTACCTCTAAATTGCCATTAATGGAGCAGAACCGAACAGGAGAGAGCTGAATCAACGTTGATGCACTGCTGAACATCGAGTGTCGAGTGAAATAAGACATTAGAAGTGACACAGTCGCAAGTAGACACAGGAGCTCGAGAAGGTTGAAGAAAATGGGAAAATCGACGAGGNACTGAATCAACGTTGATGCACTGCTGAACATCGAGTGTCGAGTGAAATAAGACATTTGAAGTGACACAGTCGCAGGTAGACACAGGAGCTCGAGAAGGTTGAAGAAAATGGGAAAATCGACGAGGGTTTTGGTTGCCGTTTGATTCTTCTTCTTCCCTCATTCGCATGACTTTTTAATTAAGCATTCAGAGCAGAGGCAGCACAAAAGGGAGCTTCATAGGCACAGGCGCATTGCCCGTTACCAAGTGCAGGGTTCGTGCAATTTAATTTTACGTGAATTAAATTAGAGAGAAAATTAGTGCTGCGAGTGAAAAACACTCAGCGGGCGAAGCACTGGAGGAATTACCAGAAAAAGCACCAGCATCAGTAGTGAGCGACGAGCAAACAAAGCCAGTCATGTACACTGCACACTTCGGTGCGGCACATTAAAGAGTAATTCCACTCACTGTTGCCAGAGAGAAGAGTGCCAAAGAAAAGCCAAAATGCAACAACACTGTCGAGTAATTAGAGTGAAGAAAGACAAAAAGAACTTCTTTCTTTCACTGGAAAACTGAAAGTCGGTTGTGATTCCGGTGAGTGCAGGCGGTTCGTGTCTGAAGCCAGCAAGCAACGGCAAATTCAAGGCAATTCCTTCATGATTCCGACTACAGGCGAAATTTCTAAACCTACGACAATCAATACGGTAATGCTAACTAGCAAACGAGGTAAACCGCAGTCAAACAAAGAGAGAAACAAAGACGCAAAAAATTGTCATAGAGGAAGGAAAACACTCCGCCATGAATACACTGTCACCGAATGCGGAAATCTATTTGGCCGCAGTGTGAGTGCGGCAAAAGGAGGCCTTACTGCGCACCACGNTAACCTACGACAATCAATACGGTAATGCTAACTAGCAAACGAGGTAAACCGCAGTCAAACAAAGAGAGAAACAAAAACGCAAAAAATTGTCATAGAGGAAGGAAAACACTCCGCCATGAATACACTGTCACCGAATGCGGAAATCGATTTGGACGCAGTGTGAGTGCGGCAAAAGGAGGCCTTACTGCGCACCACGCTGCAGCACTTCTACACCTCAACTCATCACTGACACAGTGAAATGAATAAAGCAGAGCATAGGCCGAGAGCAAACCAAATTGGGCAGAGTAGAGGAGAGCAGATCTGGGATTTCTCTTTCGCCTTTGGAAAATCACCGAAAGATCAGGCGAACTGATAACCGGTGCCGGTTGCAGTACATCCATCCAAGTGCAGCGACGGCAGCAGTCGCTTGAGATTAATGAATGGCTGATTTATCAGCAGACGGCATCGTAAGTGGTGGTGCACCGTGGTGTTCATCNACTCATCACTGACACAGTGAAATGAATAGAGCAGAGCATAGGCCGAGAGCAAACCAAATTGGGCAGAGTAGAGGAGAGCAGATCTGGGATTTCTCTTTCGCCTTTGGAAAATCACCGAGAGATCAGGCGAACTGATAACCGGTGCCGGTTGCCACTGCAGTACATCCATCCAAGTGCAGCGACGGCAGCAGTAGCTTGAGATTAATGAATGGCCGATTTATCAGCAGACGGCATCGTAAGTGGTGGTGCACCGTGGTGTTCATCAGCATATTTATAGACACAACACAGCAGATTGAAAATAAGGCACTCTCAGGAATCGGTGCTTTGCTTTGCAAACTCTCGAAAACAGCAAACTTTATCTCAGGATTTCGAGGTCACCTCGAGACACCACCGTACCACAAATGATGCCCTTCTAAAATGCAGCGTAATGGTCTACTGGTAACCGGCCGCAGGGAACAGTGAAAGTTTAACCAACTTTGGCGTGTTCTCTCTTTCTTTCTCTCTGCTTCACTCGTACCTAATGGCTCTATGGCTGGTTGCATATTAATTACTACTTGTCTTTTTGATGCAAATCAATGCAGCGACGATGCAGCAGTAGTGGAAGTAGTAATAATGCTCTACAAACTCTGGCAAAAAGGGAGCCATTCATTATCGGATGGAGAGACGTGTTCGTTATCAGCTTCGGTTGGCTGTGTGTGCACGGTGAACGCTGGTCGGGCAATCAGATCACCACTGCGACCGGGCAAATAGCCGCAAGGGGCAAAAGGGCCACTGCCACCACCACTTTCATTGTTTGCTCAGCACACACATAGCAACTTTTGCAGCGGCCGCAGTCTAATGAACTATTTGCACGTTATCACAGTGCGCACAGCAACGGTTATTGCTTTTTAATGCAGAACAATGGCAACCTTGGCTGGAGAGGATAGAAAAAAGAGAAAAGTTAAGGCTTAGAAGAAGAAAGTGAAAAGCTGGAGAAGCAGAAGCTTCAGACAAACAAAGGCGGCCAATCAATTGAAATGAAAGTAGAGCAAATGAAAGTGAAAAGCGTGCTAGTACAACGGAGAAAAAAGAAAAAGAGGTTTTGGCTAAAAAATGAACAGAAGAGAAGTGGCTCTTTCTGAAAATCAAAACCCTGTTCACTGCGACTGACATTGAAATGGCACCCCTGAATGCAGTGTATACACTCTGGCCATAAACCATTCACCAGTGACCATTAGCAGTGTGCACTCTGGACAAGTTGGCAGACCAGTGCTGAAGATCGTGCCGCCTCGGAATCGAAGCACACAGCAGCGGCAGCAGTAGCAGCCAAAATGGCGGAAATGACAGACAGACTGAGTGTGCAGGGGCGCGTGATTAGAAATTCAATTCTGTCCACACAGTAGTTCGCACAGTACACACAGCACACAGCACTGACGTTGCCGTACAGTCCAGCAATTAAAGTAACTACCACTTTTAGTACAACTCATTGTTGACTATTCAATCCGAACAGTCAAACAGTAAATGTAAATGTGATGCAAGCGCAAACTGCAGCAGTGATTGGGCGCAAATGAAGGTGAATAGTGGCTGCTGCTGTATGGCACGCTAGTGCTACTGCTGCTCCTGCTGACCTGCAATAGTCTGCAGACAGCCAATCAGCTAAACAAGTACTTGGCACATGAGTCAGCTCCCGCTGATTACTATCACACACACATTACATTTGGGTCTATTTAGAAGGGGTCTCTCTAAACCCGTTATCAGGTTGAGGTAGAAAACAACAGCACAACAACAGCTACCTGACGCACAAGTAGTGGTAGTGTGCAAAGTGCCGCGAGAGTGATGCAAACAATGCAATTACGATTACTATTAATAATAGAGAGAGCAGGTGGCAGTTAAGCACCTCGATCTGCTTTAGCCAACTGGCTTCAGGGCGCAAAGTGCCTAGTGTGTGTGTGTGTGTGATTCGGTCGCACTTGCAGCCCCACACGCCACACAGTCTGTCGCCCATTCGCCACGGTCTTGTCGACAATACTCTCTTCCATGGCGGCGGCGGTGACTGCTGCCTACCACCTCGCTGTGCCTTGATTGCCAATAGATTGTCAACAACAAAACTGTACACTTACACTTACCTGAAGGAGAATGAGAGAAAGGAGACGGCTGATTATCGAGTACAGAGAAGAGGAGATGTCAGACTGATAGCGAGAATTGGCCACAATGAAGCAAAGAGCGTAGAGAACACACACAGATCGGGCGTCCTGCTGCAGGTTGTACTGGTGCTGTACTGCTGCTCATCGGTGCCGTCGAGCGCGGGTGCGCGCATATAGTGTCAATTACCGGTGTTGGTGGTGTCGGTGGGAGATGATGGTGCTGGATGATGATGATGATGATGACTAAATGTGGAGAGCGGTCTTTGATACTAACGGGCCATGATGTATGACTGGTGTGACGATGCTGAAGGCTGAAGTTAGTAGGCCGACGAGAGTAGTCATCCTGCAGTGATATATGCTTTGCCAGACGGGCGAGTGCGATCGGCACTGAGCGATAGTCAACGAACCACACGACGACGACGACAACAGTTGAGAATTAGCTGTGAGTGCACTTTCACTCTTTAGTGCACCATGAGTTGAGCTTATCGTAGAGCGAAGATGATCATCCCCGTAATGGCGTGGGACAGTCCAATCAGAGGTAAATTAGCGCTAATGATGAGACTGCAAAGATGGTGAAAGTACTGGCTGAAAGGTCAAGCTTGTCGCAGCTTAGAAGAGTGCTGTTTAGGAAGAGAAAGAGTAAATTCAGTTTCGATAAAAGAAAGTGCAACACAAGAGCGGAAGAAGCCAAGCTGACAGTTCAACTTTTCAATGCTCGAAAAGATTAGTGGGCTCTCAGTGTGTTCTCAAGAGAACCACCATCAGCACTACTTCAATGACCACCATCGAGTGAAGTGAAGTGCAGTACATTTTATATTAATAAAGCCCCCAATGACATTTACGAGCGAATACAACTTACTGGGGCAGAAAGGAGAACGAAAAAGACGATGATGGCAGAAGCATCCTCGGTGGAAGCCCATTAACGGCGTTCTCCACTACTGGAATGCGTCCGTTCCTCTGCCCGGGAGACGATAAATCTCGGGTAAATAATTCGTAATGGCCAAATTCGGCACAACGGCGCCGTCAAAGGACGGTAGAGAATTTACCACTTGTGAGCAGATAGAAGTCGCATAATGATGATTTTCTCCAGCACTGAAGCAAATGTGCCGAGCAAACACTTACAAACAGAATATTCCTCATCTTTTAATAGCGATATTCTTCAATTCAAGTCACGAAATTCGTACAAGTGTAAGTGAAACAATGAAAAACATGCCTTCAAAGCTGCTGCTGCCCTCTTTCAAGCATCAACGACACTGAATTTTTCTTTTTTTTGCAGGCCGCCAGTTCTCTTCGGCAACTTTCAGCGTGTTGATTCCGGTGCGATGTTGTTTTGATGGAACAATCTTTTCCCGATGACTGCCCGCCTCGATCTGCTTCACGTTCATTGACATCTTCGTAATCCAATTGGAAGCTCACCTCAAGTGCTACCATTGATTTGAACAGCAAGAATGTGCGTGTAAATGCCCTCCAGTGGACGTCTTCTAGACGACCTCAGTCTTTCCTTCTGCCGTTCGTGCATCTGCATCATTCACGGTATCAGCAAAAAGTTGACAACTCATCATAAATAAATTACACCATCATCGGAGACCGGAGAACTTGAGCAGCGTCGCCAATACTGGCTACTAACACAACACCAGTTCTAAAGTCACAAACAGAATCAGACTTCTGAATGATGGAACCCGCTACCAGAAGAAGATACTCCACCCGACCACCTGACCCCAGGGGACTGGGAAGGTTCCTCCCGGCATCTCACATTACAACAACAGCAACAATTTTTCTATTTATATTCATCGCTGTGATTTTGCCGAGCGACGCTCGAAAGCATCATCTTGTTCTTGAAAGTGATATTCGACGATCTTTTCCTGTTAGCACATTTGGGTACTTTCCCGGCGGTCAGCTGAACATAACTGTTGCAAAATTTAAATTCCGTCCAATGAGGCCTGATTCAGATATCGCTAATGTATGTTGTTATATGAACTGATAGTATTTACACGATTCTACATTACTACTTTTTCATCCTATAGAACCAATTTGGCTTTACACTAGTCCAGAGTCTAATCAATAGCCATTCGACTTATTTGGTAAAGCTTGATTAATCTTTTTTGTAACTTGATCATCATCATTAACTGTTATTCTCCTGTAGGAAGGTCACCATGCTCAGTCATGCATACTTCAGGATGACTCCACATACGATTACCTAGGCCTGGTATCCTTCAAGTTTGACTTTAAAAATGAAACGTAAGCAATTTCCTGATAGCATTTACAGCAGTCAATGTAGTTTTCTTTATTCCACGCAGTGTCCACTTGTCATGCAATTCAAAACTGAACAAGCTTACTATAATTTCTGATAACTTGAATCGTGCCAAGCGTACTCCAATCGAAGCCAATAAACAGGAGCCTCCAAAAGAAGAGTCAAAAGTTCAAGAGCCCGCAAATGTTGAAGCAAAAACTAATATTGAGCCAGCTAAAGCACGAGACGGAAAGCTACTCAATGTCGATAGCGGCAAAGTTGATGCACCAGTAAAAGAGACAGCGCCAGTGAACAAACAAGAACAAAAGGCAAAAGTTCCTGATCTACCCGCTAAGCAGTCGAACAACGAAGATGAAGCAGCTGTCTTTCCGGATGTAGATCCTGAGCCAAAATCACCAAATGTTGCTAAGGAAGAGAAGGTTGTTTCTGGGGGTAGCGGCGGCGGCGGTGGAGGCAGCAGCAACAGCGCCTTAGAAAAGACCAAAAGTGGCACCTGCCTAAACTGGAATGCATTCGAAATGAAAAAGACTGGTCCGCCAACTGACCCAACGTACAGCTTCTCCTTTCAGATGTTCGTCACCGAGCCACAATTGCAGGGACTTTACACGCTGTACTTTCACAATTGCCTAAACTACCAGGACAAACTGGAGGATTCTGCTGGCGTGTACACTGCCATCGATCTGGACATCTTCATCGAAGAGCGCAATCTGCACAATTTCCTCTCAGCAGGCGAAGTTCCGCTGCCGCAGCTATTTTTCGCCCTTTCTATCATCTTCTTCATTCTGGGCATCATTTGGTTCTACTCTCTGCAGAATAGGGCTAGCGAAACTTTTAAGATCCACTACCTGATGGGCGTGCTGGTCTTTGTGAAGGCTATCTCACTTCTCTTTCATGGCGTATGTTTGCCCCTTTTTCATTCTTTTATCACCTCAACTAAAACGGTTTTCTTTCTTTCAGATCAACTACTACTTCATCGCCCGTGATGGCACTCAGGTGGAAACCTGGGCCATACTGTACTACATTACGCACTTTCTAAAGGGTGCCCTCATGTTTATCACCATTGTCCTCATCGGCACCGGTTGGGCGTTTATCAAACACATCCTCTCTGAAAAAGACAAGAAGATCTTTATGATTGTCATTCCACTGCAAGTGCTGGCGAACATTGCCGACATTATCACTGAGGAGAGTGAAGAGGGTGCCCTCATTCACACTGTCTGGCGGGAAATCTTCATTCTCGTCGACATAGTCTGCTGCGGAGCCATTCTCTTTCCGGTCATCTGGTCAATTCGACACCTGCAGGAAGCTTCTCAGACAGACGGCAAGGCTGCAATGAACTTGAAGAAGCTGCAGCTTTTCCGCCAATTTTACGTCATGATAGTCGTGTACATTTACTTTACGCGTATCATCGTATACCTCGTGAAAATCACCGTGCCTTTCAACTACAATTGGCTAGACCAACTGTTTCAACATGTCGCCACTTTGGTATTCTTCATCTTCACCGGATATCGCTTTCAGCCGGCCTCATCCAACCCTTACTACCAGCTACTGCAGGAGGAAATGGAAATGGACGAGGAAGTGTAAGTGATTATTAGCTGATTTAGTTATTCCCAACTCTAGCTCTAATTTTCGATTGGCTGTTTCATCGCCGACAGGCTTTTCATTCAACCAAGCACCTTTACCGAGGCAAAGAAGCGCAACCGAGATCTCGAATCGAGCGATGTGCAGTCACTTATTGGCAGAGGAGGAGGGGGCGTCAATTCTTATGATTACGATTGAACGCACTGACGATCATTTTCCTGCAGCTGCAGTACTACATCCAGCAATACCGGAAAAATATGTACAAAGTATACATAAAAGTCTGTTTTCGCTTTTAATTTCTTCCACTTTGTGATGTCATTTTCCAGTACCAATTTGAAAATGATTTCAGCAATCTTGTGAGGCAACCATTACCATTTCATCACCAGCATCGACTCATCGATTGCGAAGGAAAGTTCGTTGATGTTTTTGATTGTGATCGGGATTTGCCACCGTAACCAGAGCGTGTGCGCTCAAGTCTTGTTCAAGGCGGATGCTTATCTACAGCAGCAGTAGTTGGTGCTGCTGCTGGTAGATCTTCAACACAAACAGTGGAGATAACAGTGGCGATGGGTGATCAGCTTGGACTTGACGCTGCTGTTGACACGCTCATTTTCACCTTACAATCAGCAATTCAGTGAGAAACTGTGGTGCTAAAGCACTTATCACCATAAAGCAGGCGCAGCTCTCGGTGGCAATTTATCAGGAGATAAGATCGATGTTTATTTGCCACACTCAGATGGTGTCATGGATGGCCTGCAGAAAGTTGTTACAGTTTGGTTTGAACTTCTGCTGTTGATGATAAGAGAATGATTGCTGAGTGTGCCTCGTCTAGCGAAAGTCTGCGAGGAGATGATGAGGACGGTGGTGAAAAACATCAAGTTTTGGAAACAAATTGGGCCGAAATGATTTTAGTTTTGCAAGCCAAAGCCTCATTCTAATTCTCTTTTTCATCGCCTATTTATTCTCAAACGAAATTTTGAAAAACAGCCCAAAAAACCTGCATCTCAATTTTCGAAACCCGAATATACCGCCGTGAATAACGTCCGCCGTGAATGGCACCCCATTGGGGTTGCAGTAACCAGAATCCTCATGTGTTTACCGTTTGTTGTCTCGCCGGACGCCTCCAGGTCTCATCTGACCACTTTCAACAACCTCAACACCCGAAGCACTCCTCTTTCTCCTCTCTCTTTCTCTTCTGATCGTTGATCGCCAGTGGCAATCCTGACTGCCTGTCTCCTGTCGACCGATCGTATCATCCTCTTTTCCACCTCAGCTTCAACTTGCTGCTTATCGTCTTCACATATCTGCCTCGCGCACCACCACCACCACCATCACCATCATCATCAGTTCACATCGCTCGATCGGCGGCGCTCTCATACACACACAAGCGCGGCCCGTCGATATCCTCGCCAGCCAAAAAGGCCAGTTTCTCTCGTACTTCGACTCACTTTGGTGCCGGCAATCGTCAACTCTGATCGTTCTTACTTCTCTCGTTTCACTCCATCACCCACATCTTGAGCTAGTATTTATATTTCCAGTTTGTCCAGAGGCTCTTCTGTCCAACTTCTCTTCGGCTTGATGTTGCATCTGACACGCCGCGCCGCATCTCGCTTACCACTCTCATCTTGTCTTGAAGTGATTCGCCAGTCTTCCACTTTTACTTCATCAATCAGTCCACTGTGCACCGTCGTAGCGACTAGTTCACGCCGCCGTCAAGTTTTGTCCTTTTCGTCGTCACTTGTTCAGTGCCATCAAAGTCGCGCCATGTCTTCGGGTATGATGTTCCAGACGTTGGATCAGAGCGATCCGGAGCTGTACAAGATGATCCTCAAGGAGAAGGATCGCCAGACCCGTGGTTTGGAGCTGATCGCCTCTGAGAACATTACTAGTCTGTCGGTGCTGCAGGCGCTCAGTACCTGCCTCCACAACAAATACGCCGAAGGATATCCTGGCCAGAGGTAGGGAAATCCTTTTAAGTAATCTTTGTCGCAAAAACTAACAATCGAATTTTCTGCAGATACTACGGCGGTAACGAACACATCGACGAGATCGAACTTCTCGCTCAGAAGCGTGCCTTGGAGGCCTTTGGCCTGAGCGCTGAGGAATGGGGTGTCAATGTGCAGCCCTACTCTGGCTCTCCTGCCAACTTTGCCGTGCTCACCGCTCTTGCTGGTCCCCATGGTCGCATCATGGGCCTCGATCTGCCTGATGGTGGCCATCTAACCCACGGCTATCAAACCGACAAGANGGAATGGGGTGTCAATGTGCAGCCCTACTCTGGCTCTCCTGCCAACTTTGCCGTGCTCACAGCTCTTGCTGGTCCCCATGGTCGCATCATGGGCCTCGATCTGCCTGATGGTGGCCATCTAACCCACGGCTATCAAACCGACAAGAAGAAGATCTCTGCCACGTCGATCTTCTTCGAGTCGATGCCGTATCGCATCAGCCCGACGACTGGTCTGATTGACTACGACCAGCTGCAGCTCACTGCCAAGCTCTTTCGTCCGAAGCTGATCATTGCCGGCATTAGCTGCTACCCTCGCCACCTGGACTACAAGCGCTTCCGCGCCGTTGCCGACGAGAACAGCGCCATTCTGATGGCCGACATGGCCCACGTCAGTGGTCTGGTAGCCGCTGGCCTGGCGCCGTCGCCCTTTGAGTACGCCGATGTGGTCACCACGACGACGCACAAGACGCTGCGCGGCCCCCGAGCTGCCGTCATCTTCTACCGAAAGGGCGTCAAGTCGGTGGACAAGAATGGCGTGAAGACGCTGTACGACTACGACGAGAAGATCAACTTTGCTGTCTTTCCCGGACTGCAGGGTGGCCCCCATGAGAACGCCATCGCCGGCATTGCCACCACTATGAAGCAGGCCGCCAGCGAGGAGTTCAAGCAGTACCAGCAACAGGTGGTGAACAACGCCAGGGTGCTGGGCGAGTCGCTGGTCTCCAGTGGCTACACCATTGTCACCGGTGGCACGGACAATCACCTCGTGTCGCTTGACCTGCGTCCATTTGGCTTGAACGGCGCCCGTGCCGAGCGCATCCTCGAGGAGGTGTCCATTGCCTGCAATAAGAACACCGTTCCCGGCGACAAGTCTGCCCTGAATCCGGGCGGCGTTCGCCTGGGCACTCCGGCGCTCACCACGCGAGGCCTCAAGGAGGCGGACATTGTCAAGGTAGTGCAGTTCATCGATCGCGGCCTGAAGCTGGCCAAGGAGATCAACGCCAGTGCGCCGGGAAAGATGCTGAACGACTTCAAGAAGACGCTGGAGACGGCAGAGTTCCAGGCCAAGGTGAAGACCATTCGAGATGACGTGGAAGCCTTCGCCCGACAGTTTCCCCTTCCTGGCTATGTTGAGTACTAGTGCCGGCAGCAGCCGCAGCATCATTTGCTGTTGTTACGTTTTTATCATGTAAAATCAATTTGTTTTCCATAACCAACCCACTGCACTTTAGTTTGTTTTTCACGCAAGCTAAATATTAAAGATCACGCATGCATTTTACCACTGAATGCCGCATTGCGGTCTGTGCAAAAAAAGTGCTCAGAGAGTGAGTTGATTCGCATGACTGCCCCAGATCTGAGCCGGGCAACAGAGAGGGAGACTGTCGCCCGAATATGCGCAGTTTGGTTGAGAACTCATTTTGTTGTTTTCAGTGATCACATCACACTTTCATTCTCGGTGGCCAACTGTGTTTCAATGATACTTTGCTGCCGTAACACACAGTCTCTAGCTGCTCTTGATGCGAATCAGCCTCCAGAATGTGCCAACAGTGTCCTCCTTTCCCTTGGTGCAGCTTCGCGGATCGATCGTCTGCTTCAACGACCACCTACGACGACCGAGTCAGATTAAGGTGACCACCACCAGCAGTGCCGGTGGCCAAGTGGGCAAAAAGTGCCACGAAGCGACCAGTGTCGTTTGGCCAGTGATCTACAGCCAGTTCAAAGTGCTCGTTCATCTGAAGAGATCGGTGAATCGATTTAAGCTGTGGATTGAAGATGAAGACGAGCAGGAGAGAACTGTGGTTGACTATGTGGAGGTGACGATGCGCTACAGGGCACCGGAACAAGGTGCAAGTAAACGAGTGGTCCGACTGGTCTACTTGATGTGCAAAGAAGAGGCCAATGAAAAAACACTCTTTGCAGGTGGTCATTTTGAGGCAGACCAGAAGGAGGAGGACAGTTCACCTGAATCTGCCTGCAGGCGGATATCCACCGGTGCTCTTTTGTCACAGTGTTTCTTTGCCAACACTCTCGGGAGCACAAGCAGTGATCACCAGCAAACCTTTCAACTTGAACTGGACTCTGCTGGACTGCCCATCGTTCACTGCTTCACTTTGAATCAGACCCAAAGTGAGTTGTGGGGGATGAAGCCTGAAGAGTTGTGGAGGCAGACCGCCGTTCAGTTGATCTCCTCCCCGCTGGGCGATGTGCAGCACTGCAAGTACCTTGCATTTGCAGGCTTCTCCCGGTACAGCCGGGCCAATGGTGGCCATAGCCATCCTGGTCAACTGTGGTGGCTGCCCTCCGCCCAGGTCCTTGCTCATGTGGCATTGGGTGCTGGCGGGCTGGCTCTTCTTAGCACTCACTGTCTGCACTGCTGGCCAGAGACAGTGGCTGACATTCCTCGAAGACTGCTCGACCACCGACACATCGACAGGGCCTGCTTTATGGATGACAGCAATCATCGGTAGGTGACATCATCAAAGTGTGCACTTTTCATTCATTTCATTCACTCAATCTTGCCCTCAAATCAGAAACACTCGATCAGGTTGTTTTGCCAGCACACTGGGCGCTTCAATGCACGAACTGGGGCACACCTTCAGCCTGGGCCACTCTGAGGTGGGCATGATGGGGCGAGAGGATTTTCACCAGATTGATCGCTTCTTCCTGTCCCTACCTCCTGAACCGACTTCCTGGTGGACTGCAGAGGAGGTGGCCACTCTTCGTCAGCACCTCTGGTTCAACAACTGCATCAAATGATTACCGTCGTACAAACAGCACTTCTCTTATCGAACCAACCGTATGCTCTAAAGCAGTCAGCTCGGCAAGATTCTGTGATAGCAACACCACCACCTCAAGCAGTCAATGAATTGTATTGAAGGTGGTTTACATGTTTTTGTGTAAAAATTGTGTGAATCACTTTAAACTTGTGATTACCAGAACAGTGAACAAATGCATAAGCGAACAGAATCTGTGTGGTTGTGTGTGTAAATTGAAAAAGTTAAATCTCTGTAAAAATAAAGAATTAAAGTACGTGAAAAAGAAGGAGTGTGTGAAGGACAGGACAAAATGGTAATGTGTGAGAATAAGCTCTCACTTTGAAAACATAACAATCAAAGGTGATGGATTGACGCATGTTGAGCGACAAAAATGACTGGAGAACAGAGCTGACTAGCCTCGTCAAAGAAGCTATCAGCAGGGGATGACTCAATAAACGTGTTGATAAAATGATGATTGCAAATGGGCATTGTTCGTTAACAGATGAAGGCAACATGGTAGCAGTAGGCTAGCCCTTGAACACGTGAACCACTCGGGTAACAAATTGTCGGCAAACGGGACCTAGTAGTAAATTAAAAAGATGGGCACCTTTAGAGAACAGTCAACTCAGGTAGTCCAATTACTTACATTCACTAAGAATTTTGCCACAGTCGGTACAGGTAAGCATGTGANGTGTAGTCAAATCACTTACATTCACTAAGAATTTTGCCACAGTCGGTACAGGTAAGCATNAGCACCTTTAGAGAACAGTCAACTCGGGTAGTCCAATCACTTACATTCACTAAGAATTTTGCCACAGTCGGTACAGGTAAGCATGTGACCACATTCAAGAAGGACGCAGTCGATGGCATTCTCCATGCATATCTTGCAGGTGTTCTCATCCAGAACTGTACTATCTTCGTGATCATCTTTATGAAACAAAAGACAATTTTAATATTAGAGCACAAGTCATTTAATCGGAAAAATCTGCAAACCTTTAAACTTGTTGCTGATTTGCTTGTCATTCCACAGCAAAACAGTCTTTTGAATTAGCTCTTCACGTTCAACGCAGCCTTTGAAGTCGACAAAGTTTCGTGTAAGAAGTAGCTTAAGCTGACGAATGGAGAGATCTTTAATTTCTGCTTCATCTTTGATGTCATTGAGATTGAAGGTAGAAAGATTTAAATTCGCTTTTGAAGAGGCGTTCTTGGCATCGCCTTCGCGCAGTGGCTCATTCGGGTGGCGAGGAGTGCTAGTGGCGGAAGAGGAAGGCGAGTAAGGTGGCGGTGGCTGAGGGTGAAGTCCTGATGTGGCCTGAGGGGGCGGTGGTCCGGCCGGCGACGATGGAGCCGATGGTCGAGGCACTTCAGATCCGCCACTGGAGGAAGAGTTCCGACGAGAGGGTCCATTGACGGTGATCAGTATGAGGTCGATTAGCTCCCGCTTCTCCTGTTTCAGTCAAGTGAGGGTAAGTTAAAATGATTCATTACACCTTCAATACTGATAAAGCATTACTTACACTATAGGTTTCGGAATTGATATTGCGACTGGAAAGGAACCACTTGAGATCACGGACACGTAGGGTGTTGAGGGCATCTTTAGTGAGTGGCGACTGGGCGAAGATGAGACATCGACGACAGCGATGTCTGGCCTGGTCCATACAAGTGGAGCAGTAGTGCAGATAACAGTTCTGACATCGTTTCTGCGGAAAAAAGGCCGAGGGACAGAAGAACAAACACTAATCCGTTAGTCAGTTGTAGGTGTTAGTTGTAGAGGTGAGAGGTATATGGTTGGAGAAAGAGCAAAGGATTTCAAAAAATACATTAGGTTTAAAATCATGCAGCAAAGAATCAGTTGGCAGAGAGGAAGATTAGAGAGGGTGGAGCGGGGACAAAAGGAAATAAAACTGCAGGCAGCCGCCTCTGCTGGTACTGACCTTTCGCAAGAAAACGGAAGAAAAAGAAGCCCCACACGAGTTGCACGTTTTCATGAGCATTTTGCGAACGTCCATCAATTGATCTCCATGGAATATGTTGGCTAGTGGTGGTGGTAGCCGTTAAAGAAAGAAGAGAAGGAATAGAGCAAAGAATGAGTACAGGTCTGCTTGAGGAAACAGCAAATGCTAAGGCGTATAGCTGATAGCAAACATAAGCAGTGTTAGAATCGTCAGTTGGCAAACTAGAGACTGTGATAGCTATGTCACTCGACGAGTGCCTGGCGACTCGGTGTCAGATTACTGGATGGTAGTTGTTCTGAGTCCAAACTATAACTCAACAGAACAGCGGAGATTATAAAAAGAAGTGTATCAGCGCCAGCACACTACCTAAACTCACTGGTTTGGAAACTGTAAACAAAGTGAAAAGACTGATGGCCTGTCAGTTGGCTGATGCCATTGTGCGCCAATGAAGATCATAAAAACTAGAAGCAATGAAGACAGACCACATGCATACACATACACACACACCACTTACCAATATCCTGAAAAGAGCTGCTGATGTTCTGGGAGATTTGACTGAAGTCAAAGGTCCCACCAGGTCCGCTGGTGCTACTGCCAAAGAGGCCGCTCGTCTTGCTGCCGTGACGGTTTTGCTGTGAGCTGTTCGTCTGCTGGTGATTGTTGCCGCCAGGCGAACGATCAGTGGATGACGCCTGCTGCTGCTCTTGCTGCTGGTGACCAGGACTGGTGGGAGCCGTGTGATTGTTGTTGCTACTCATTTGCAGGCTACGAGCGGCTTGCTCGTCTGCCTAGTCGGTGCGCCTTCTGCGCTGATGACGAATATGTGACACGATGGGAATAAGAGCGAGGAAAGTGAGTAATACTCTGAACGGGAGAGGGAGACCGTACACTNTGGTGGGAGCCGTGTGATTGTTGTTGCTACTCATTTGCAGGCTACGAGCGGCTTGCTCGTCTGCCTAGTCGGTGCGCCTTCTGCGCTGATGACGAATATGTGACACGATGGGAATAAGAGCGAGGAAAGTGAGTAATACTCTGAACGGGAGAGGGAGACCGTACACTCGACTGTGGGCTTGCTTGTGTAAACTTTCGGCTTGCTGCTCTGGCAATACGTCGGCACTACGTAGTACACAGCGGTGGCAGTGAAAGTAAAGGTTGTAGATTGTTTGGGCGAATGACTGAGAAAGACGATTCAGAAGTACCTCTGCCGCTACCTGGTAGTCAATTGACTACGGCGCTGGTTGAGAAGTACCACTCGACCCTAAGTGTGGTGCCACGACTTGCTGTGTCTTCTTAGTGTGTTACTTCAACGATGACACATATATAGGAGGCTGGAGAACTACTCTCTTCTTTCACTGCACTTCGGCCGTGCCGCTTTTCTGGCGGCGGACCACTTGGACGGCGGCTAGCGTTTCAAGGCCTTGCAGCTTTTT